CCGGGCCCAGTGGCAATAGTTTGGAGGTTGAGAAATCCTGACTAGCTTAATAGGTCCTATTTCAGATGAAAAACTGAAATCCAAAGAGTTTAAGTGACATGACTGACAGTCCTAATCCCTGGCAAAGTTAGATCTAGAACCTGGTTTTGGGATTTGTCTGGGATCCTTATGATCATTTGGGATAGATATTGGTGGGCAGGTCCTTTTGTAGACTAAAACCTGAGACCCAGGACCACTTCGTTGATCTTTCCACAGGAAAAAGAACTGTAACATTTTATCTCTGGACCTTGCCTTTGGCATTCAGAAGCCTGTTGAATGTTTTATAAACAGCTTACCAACCTATGTTGATCATTTCATGCAAACATGGAAAGAGCTTTTGTGTGTATTTTATTTAGATTAGTTTAAGTGGTATTGAGTTCTGAAAAGAATAAAAATTTTCTAAAACTACAGGACAAATCATGGTATTTTCTCCTAAACACAGAGTACAAGGCGTGTTTTGCAGAATATCTAATATGCTTCTGAATATTCAAAAATTAATAACATTGATTTTTAAATAACATTTCACCAAAGTATCAACATAGTTTTCAACATAATTTTAATTTAGTTTTTAAAGGTTGAGGTCAATATAACAACATTTTTTTGTCGGGTTCATAGATTTCTTTACTAAAGTTACTAATTTTTAAATTACTGGAGGAGCAACCAACAAAAATAAACTGGTGATTTATCATCCTCACTAAGAAAAACATGATGTAATTGAAGTAATTTTCACTATTCTTGTCATTCATAAAAACATAAACTACAAAGTCACATTTTACAGAAGTTGAAGATGTTTCTGATTTAAAAATGGGGACTATAATTCAAAACCGAATGCCTCATAAAAATAAAATACTACCATATCACCACATATTGGCTTTGAGTCTACTTGTCATCATAAAATAATTTGGAGACCTCTTCAGTATCCTCAATTTAATTAAGCGCTTCCAACTACAACAGTAAACATGAATTATATCTTTGTTTTTCTTTTTTTGAATTCCATTTTAAAAGGGTGACATGCTGTAGGAGAAAGTAAATGATTAGCTAGGTCTAAATTTGTTTGCACCTGGCTTGAGTATCCTGACAATAAGCCATTATTCTCTTACAAGGCATTGAACGATGAATCCAGCAAGGTAGGGAGAGAGAAAACCTCCATAATCCCATCACTCTAAGAGGAGATGTATGAAATTTGCATTATATATAAGGTTCAAAAACTCAAATTTTAAAGTGTTCTCATTGATACAGCCTACCTTTCAAAGATGGGGTGGGGTTAGAGTTTTATCAGTCAGGGTATCATTTGTCCATCTAATTGGAAAATATATCCCCTTCTTCAGACTTAATCAAAAGCTCTGTTTTTTAGATGTCTTTTCTGATTTGCTTGCAATAGCCCAAACTAAAATCAAATTACAAATTTGCCATCATTTATCTGCTGGCTAAACAGAAAAGTAGATGAAGTTTGCCTGCCCCCATCCCTGTCTCTCTGAGGTTATCAATTCACCTTAGACAAGCAGCCTGTCATAATTTGTTATTCCAGTAGGGATTCTAGAAATATTTCAGGTGCTGTGTTCATCCCATCTATTTAAGAATATCTAAAACTCCATGAGTGATGCAGAACATTAAGAAGGAATAATGCCAATAATCTAAACTGGTTTCAAGTAACTAATACCATTCGTCTATTTTATCTCCATGATTTTCTCTGGTGAGATAATGTGATCACATTAAATTAATCATAATTACATTTATAATTATATTTCCACTAAGAATATTAAATAAAATGTAAAAAACACAACGAAAGACATTTCTCTCAATTACTGTCATTCCCTTCATGTGAGGTCTGACTCCCACGAAAAGTTCTTTTTGACTAACTTCAACAGCAAATTTTTCCTAGGTTTCTTTTCAACCAGAGAATTTGTTTTATTTGGAAGGGCAAGTTCAAGTAGACAATACCAAGGTTTTAAACTTGATCCCAAATTAGATTTGCCACATTTAATAATTAAAAATAAAGATACAGTTATCTGAATTATTTCTAGCTCCCTATGTATGTGTACTTTGAAAAAATATTACCATGGCTATCCCTTGCAATATTTTTCTTTATCTCATATTTATAGGCAATTAGAGAGGATTCAAGTTTTACTGAGCTTCCTGTATGTTTAGATACTAAGTTTGGCAATTCTATGCAAAATTCAAGTTCTTTAGGACACAGTTTAAGAGACTACAGAGCTCTGTATCTGTGGCTAACATCTGATCCACCTTTCACACAAGTAACACTGCTCAGTAGTGGATGGAAACTGCTAGAAGATAATGGCTTTTTCCCAATTATCTATAACAATTATTTCTTTAATTTCCTGGCACTCTGTCTCTTCAAAAAAAAATTATTCTATAGGCATGCCTTTATCTGGGAATGAATTCCAACTTGAAACCTCCATAGACACAACAGCTCAGAATCTGTTCTGCAGGATGATTCTAAAGGGGAAAAGTTAATTCCTGTCAAATACTCCATCTCAGGGTAACAAATATTACAATTAGGTTTCCACACAATTTCAGCGACAACCTTTTTTTCCTTTCCTCACATGTCGGGATTTTTTGCACTCTCTTTCATCTTTCCTGGGTGCACTTCTCAGCTGTGTCCACCTGGGTAATCCTCCCTCTTTATCTATTGCTCCTGCAGGGGTCTTTTTCCAATATGTCCCATGTCTCACAGCAAGTACCCTGCATGCAGTGAGGCTTTATAGCATTTCTTACTGACTACTGAAATGCATGAAGGGTGTTCGGCTGAACTTTGAGATTTCGGGATAAAAGTTGAAGGAAGAGAATGACACTTGCAAAGTTTGGGGGAGGGAATTATATCTAAACTAATCCATGTAGCATGTTCACAGTCTGTTTTCAGTCCCAACACATCCCTCCTCTCATATTTCTTCTGTGAAATCTCCAAAGTGTGTCTCTGTCTATTGGAACCTGGGAACTATCAGAGCCAGGGACTAGCTATAACAGGGCCCTAAAACTCTAACACTTACAAAAGACAGGAATGCTGCTAAAGTGAGGGAAGAATATCTGTGTAAGACACAATAGAAGTGGTGAGGGCGATTGCAACCTGGATAGAATATCCTAGACATAATCTTAGAAAAGCTTGAATGGAATATATTTAGAAAATTTAAATATGAAAGATTGTACTTTTCTGGTTAAGTAATGCATTAGTGACAGACAGGCTATGCCTGGCAACTAGAAGAGTCAACAAAATGTGTACCTGAGTCCATCACTCGCCAGGGGAGAGGGGACACTGAGCCTCTCATGGGAGCATCTGGTCTACTCCCTACATATCCTCTTTGGGGAAAGGGATGCATTAGATTGTCATGGTCTATGATAGGAAATAATCACAAAATTAACCCCTTTATTCTAATGTCATGGTCAGCAAAAATCTTTTAGATTGCAATTTTGGCTTCTTACATGCATTTTTTAACAGAAGAACATCCAAATGGATATTTAGCTACTCATTAATCATATTTCTCATGAAAACCTGCTAAAATTGTTAAGTAAATCATTGTGTTATTTTCATAAAACATAGTACTATAGAGCAGCAAAGATAAATGAAGGAAAGCTATTTGCAAATACATGAATAAATCTTAAAAGCAAATTAAATCATCTCACTCATATGTGGAATCTAATGAAAAAAATGAACTGTTCAACAAAATAGATCCAGAGACACAGAAGCATGGAACAGATTGTGGAATCTCAGAGGGAAGGGGGGAGTGGGTGGGTGGGAGGGAGAGAGTAACTAAAGAACTTGTATGCATATATGCATAACCCATGGACACCAATAGTAGGGGAGTGAAAGCTTGGTTCAGGGGGATAGTGGTGGGCTAGAAGGGATCAATGGGGGAAAGAGGGGCCATGTGAAATATTTTCAACAATAAAGGCCTAAGAAAAACAAAACAAACTTAAATATAAGTGCAAGCTGTAGCAGGATAGGTATAGTATGATGTCATTTCCTAAAGTTTTAAACGTATAATATTACCACAATATTTAGTGGAACATATACACATATGAGAAATACCATATTTGGGAGAGTGGCTACAACATAGTGAGAAATGGAAGGAATGTGAGAGAAGCATGTGATAAGGTGAGACATATAAGAGATTTCGATTGCCTTGTTGACTATTTTATAACTTGACTTAGGTGATGGGTACATGTGTTGATATCTGTATTTTGAATATATGAAATATGTTTTCAGTAAACCAAGCCAATCAACAATAGCAACAATTTTTTAAGAACCTATAGAAGGAAGTTATCATATATACATCAATCCCTGGGAGTTTGGCTAGTATTTATCCAACTTCCCATAGTTTCTGCTTCAGCAAAACTCAGGACAAGATCCAGGAAACAACTCCAACAGGAGTTCTTCCAGGCAGTTCTAAGATGGCCTCCATCTGGTGATTCTCAAAACCAGGAGTATGTGAATGCTCATTAGGGTGAGCAGAACTAAATGTCTAATCTTGACCATGGGATGGGAAATTGGCTCTAAGGTGCTAGAAGATTTTGAAGAGTAAATGTACTTTAGGCAAACGTACTGGTAATGTTAATTTATGAAACTGATGCGTTTCAATTCAATCTATTGTAGGTATCACCTCTCTCTAATAAAATAATTGGAAACATTTTAAATACACATAACACTTTAAAATCTAGACATTTAAAAGTCCTATGTCATTTATAAAATTCTCCATGCTTGGGCTTTTCTGACTCTGTTTTGTGTATTTGTCAGCTCTCT